AATGCTGACAGGACAATGCGGTTATGCAAGTAGACAGCTGTATTTGACGCTTCGGCCCAAAATTCTTTGCCCATCTTAGCATCAAATAATAAACACTTTGCTTTCTCAATAATTGTTCTATTAAAACGCTCGGCCAGGCCATTCTGTTCTGGCGTGTAGGGGTTTGACTTCTGGTGCAAAATGCCACTCTTTCTCAAGTAATCATCAAAACTTTTGTTGCAAAATTCCGTCCCGTTGTCACTGCGAAGTATTTTAATTTTTCTATTCAACTGGTTCTCTACCTTGGCTTTATAGTTTTGAAAGTGTTGAAATGCTTCGTTCTTTTGTTTCATGAAGTATATGTAAGTCATGCGACTGTAATCATCGATGAACAAAATGAAGTATTTCGACCCACCAATTGATGTATTTTCCATCGGTCCACAAACATCACTGTGAACTATACCCAATAATTCACCACTTCTAGAACCAGCTTGTCTAAAAGGAAGGCGAGACTGCTTACCCTCGCAACAAACAATACATGACGACTGAGAAATGTCACTTTTCTTTTGAAGTTCCATGCCACTCACTGCATCAGGCATCTTGTTCAAGTATACACTGTTTACGTGGCCTAATCTGCGATGCCATGTATTTACAGATATAAAAGTTGCAGCCAATGTACTCTCAGGAGTTTTCAACCTATAGACACCATTTGTCAATGACGCGACGCCAACCAACTGCTTACTTTTGTTGTAAATACTGCATCCACTGGTAGTAAACCTCACTTGGTTACCATTTTTGACCAATTGACTGACCGACAGCAGGTTTGTGGTTAGTTTAGGCACACACAACACTCCTTCGACTATCACGTCATATTCGCTATTGTCAGTAACCGTCGTAATTTGTACATCACCTGAACACTTCACATAAAGTTTTTCTTCATTCGCAATGACAATTTCTTTGATGGAATGCTCGGTTGAAACATTTTTAATCCAGTTTTCGTTTGAGGTTAAGTGTGCACTCGCCCCGGAATCAACGTACCAATCTTGTTTCGAAAAACTGCCATTTAGAAAAACAGCGTTGAACGCATTCGTTTGTTTACGTTCACTTGGTTTCGTATTTGAAGATATTTTGTCCACAGTACATTGATTACGATAGTGCCCGGTTTGTTTACATCTATAACACCGCGGTACTTTCTTTGACTTTGACGTTTGCGCATATCCGTTGTCTTTGGTTCGGGCGTGACCAATGCTGCCAACCTTTTATTAAAAGTTGCAAGTGCTCCGTTAAATTCGCCGCCATTATTTTCTTCCAAATCCATCAACTTTGACTTGATGGCGTCGGTGGTGATGGCGATACCAGAATGCTCGATCGCCATAATCATCGGCGAGTATTTCTCAGTCAAACCGGCTAGCAATAAACAGCCGATCCACTCGTCACTGATTTGAAATCCCGTTCCGCTTAGCTTTTGACCAGTTTCCACTAACTGTGTCACATAACTTGTCATTGAATTACAATTTTCAAGACGAATCGAGATGAGATTTCTTAATAAACTGATGCGTCTAGTGAAACCAGAGTCATCAAATAATGCTCTCAGCTTTTTCCACAGCTCCAACGATGATTTGACTTCCTTTATGTGCACGTATAGGCTCGAGTCGATTGTGAGAATTAATTTAGCCTTGGTCCTCGCATCATCAGCGGCTTCTGTAATTTTCCCGGCAACAGGTTTAATGCAATGCTCCATGTTCTCCAGGATCAGAAAATTCTCCGCCGCGAAGCACCACTCCGTGTAATTTTCCCGCCCTTTTAGCTTTGGTACATTTACCAAATAGTTTGCCGACATGATTTATGTACTTATCACTCACGACCTACGCTAAAAAACTGAGCTAAACTGAAAATTACGACTGTCCCTAGCTAAATATCGGCTTTGCTGGGCCCATAACCTATTATTAATGATTAATTAAAACAACTTTTTGATAGCGAGCACGTTTCTATATTCCGTTTCTTGACAAAGAGAAAGACACACATAGACAATACATAGAGGGATAGCATAGACTAAAATGGGATTAAATTCTATTACAAAAAACTATTTCGATATATATAAATAACAATACCAAAACCAAAAATATGGTTTTTAGAATTTTTGTCTGTTTGTCCGTATGTATGTCCGGGATTAACTCAAAAAGTGCTGCATGGATTTACTTCAAATTTTGCATGAATATTACTAACAGGTCGGGTCAACATATAGGCTACATATTATCATGCTATCAACTGTGAATCACTTCTACGATCAATTCCACGCGGACGAAGTCGCGGGCTCAGCTAGTCATCAACAACTGATTTAAAAAAATACCTACAATTTATCTAAAAAATATCATGAGTAGGTAGGCAGAATACAACACGTTTGTGAATACCTCTTGTCTATTCACGTTCCAGGCTTAGAGACATCACATTGATTGAGATTGGAGCAGCGCTCTCTAATAAAACTGAACCTTTTAAACCTTAAAATTAATATTTGCACAGATTACACGTGCAACGATCTCTTTGGAGTAAGCAAAATATGCGAGCAAGATAAATCGACTAAAAATACTGTTTAAACAAAAGAAAATAAGCGAGCCAGAGTAATATACCCGGAGAGCCGCGGTGGACTTAACGGGTTGCCGCGGTCCGGCTCGAAGTGCAGGAGTAGGAACAGGGGGCTTACTCTTGAATCCAATTCCGATCATTTGACATTGATATTGTGGAATTTCGTACTCTTGAGTTCCAACACTAGCGCCCATTGCATTCGTATTGCGTGGATATTAAAATAACTAAATGGTATTGGGTTTGGCTTTATATTCCGTACTCTGAATGCTATTTTAACAGCTACGATAGGGGTTGTACATGTACAGTTTTGACAATTGAGTAATTATTGAGATTTTATTGGATTGAAATTACATTGACATTGAGATTGGTTTCAAGAGTAAGCACCCGGGGTGGTTTTTAGACAATAGAAGTCTGGACACTTCCTCTCGCCTCACCCAGGCGAGAGAAGACATTGGATGAATTTCCCTCCTAAAAAAAACATAAATTATTTACCAAAATTGATTGCTTATAGAGCCTACAATTACCGCTACAACAATTGTTATCAAGTAGGTACCTACGTAATAAGTTTGCATAGGACATATCAACACAACAATAGAAAAACAAAAAAAATAAACAAGCTATGCAAATAGAAGAAGTGTGATTACTCAGAAGATATAATCAACGTTAATAAAAGAAGGAGGTGTTCAGCTTGACCTGTTTGTATGTATGTTATACGTATGTTTATCCGTAATTATCTCGGAATTGGAGGAACCGATTTTGATGTCGTTTTCAGAAAAGTGTTTGTTACATTTGGGAGAAATTTTTAGTATATTAATAAACCGACTTTCAAACAAGAGGGGTTTTTAAACGTAGTTTATAAAAAAATAATTATTTACAGTAAATTACAAATACTGCACACATGAGCACAGAGAAGAGACAGGTGAAAATATGTTTTCGTCTACAAGATATAGGTTATCTACAAGATACCTAAGGCTTACGTGAGGAGTCCTTCCTGTGTTCAACAGCGGACGGCTTGTGGATGATTTATTAAATCTAAGTACCTATTAACTCGTCGAGTACCGGTTTTATAGACACAATTAAAGAACAATAGGTCGCGGTCACCGGTGACCGCTTGGTATTTGACAGATTAAATCTAAAAAGATTAGAGAACTCATGCATGAATTTGGAAGAAGAAATAAAAGGAGACTAGACAGAGAAAGGAAACTAATCACATAAAGTCGTAAATTGTAATAGAAAAATGGATAAATACAGACAAAAGAAAACGAATTAGTGGTAAAGAAATCACTTTAGCATGATAAAAAATTAGGTCTATCAGATAATTTTACTTTTTGTTTAAAAGAAAGGTTGCCCCCTCCCCCCCCCCCCCAAGGAGTTTTTCTGTGTCGTGGGTGCGTTTACAAATATACAATTTCACAAATACATGACTCCTAGACCTAAAACAACAATTTGTGAATCACACAAAGAGTTGCTTGAAAATCGAACCCGCTACACATTGTTCGATAGCCGGTTGCCGAGCTACCCCGCCAACCGTGCAGTCAGAGTAAGTTAATGTTTCGGCTTCATAGTCTGGTAATAGATTTAAGAGTTGAAATGAATTTAAACCTAATCAGTAACAAGATGAAACCTGGAATTTTACCTGGTGTAGGAGGAACCTTATTGTTATTATTTGATGTCAATAAAGTTCATTTAGTACATATTTGACCGACACTCAGTTTGAAAAGATTGCGTACGATGTGTCATGTGCATGAAATAATCCGAAAGCATCTACAAATCAGCACAAAATCTCAGTGAGGAGCAAAGATTTGCTGAAAATCATAATTATTTTCTTTTTGTTTCTTTATTTAAAAAAAACGTTACCCTACAGTATTTTCTCCTGAGTCGTGGGTGCGTTTACAAACATACAATTTCACATGCACATGATACCTAGATCCGAAACAACAACTTGTGGATCACACAAACAGTTGCTCCGTGCAGGAATCGAACCCGCTATACGTTGCGCGGTCAACCGGTTGCCCAGCCACCGCACCAACCATGCAGTTCTTTTTAGACTTTTTAGTAAAGATGTTAATTACTCTCGAAATGTTTCATTGATTTCCTATAGATTTGATGTAGTATTTATATTCTTTATTATTTTGTTTGTGTTTACGAAATCATTATTGCTGGTTGAACTCCAAATGTAACAAAGCTTGACTGACCTACTAACTATGTACTCTTTTAATTCGATTAAATTGACAGTTCTGTGGTTGTGCAAGATCGCTCTAAAAAGTTTTGTTTATTCATTGATAAAGGGAATTACATTATATGAGTTGTCAAGCAGTTCACCTTCTGCTGTGCTATTAGCATAAAATCAAATCAAAAGTCGTGCTAGATATAAAGACCGAATTTCATGTGAGATTCGTCACTTCACTGTATCCATCCGTGAAATCAGCACTTCAAACATGAAACTGGTTTGTTTTATTTGTGTATAGTTTAGTGATATGAAAAAAAAACGTTTCCTTTTATACGGACTTTTTTCGCGCACTTTTTAATTAGTAAATTCTGTTACTGTTGCTAAGTGTTATCAGTGAAATTATTTCTGAAAAACATCAACATGTCAAAAGTGTTTTAGTAGTGACATTGGATTATTGAAAGTATCAAGAAAAATATAGTTCGAAATAAGCATCAGAAAGTGTTACAAAATTGATCCTAAAGATTGTAGAAGTCCTAGAAGTGCACAAACATATTTCTATCTCTTATCCAAATGTTTGCTCTCTTTTCTCATAACAACTTTCAAACCCTTGGTGCCTAATATATTTTTACAGATCGTAGCTCTCTGCTTGGTCGCGGTGGCGGTTGCTGCCCCTCCCTCAAGGGTAAACTACTCCCCAGACAACGTGCAAATTGTCAAATATGACAACGACAACCTGGGACTCGGAGACTACAAATACGCGTAAGTTTTCTTTTCATGTGCCAGTAAAAGAAAGAAATAACGGAAAGAATAATTGTTTGTTTTAATCAAAAATGAAGTCCCTACCCTAATAACTTTCTGAATATATCAATACCTACAATCCAACATTATCGTATATTATGTACAATGACTTATCACGTTATTTATCTCTTTCCTCTTCACAAAATAACATTTTGAAAATTATATTCTAGATTTGAATTGACTGATGGTACCGGTGCTGAACAGCAAGCTGAGATCAGAAACCCGGGTAAGGAGGACGAGTCCATCGCTGTGAAGGGATCCTTCACCTGGGTGGGACCTGACGGTGTGTTCTACCGTGTCAACTACGTTGCTGACGACAACGGTTACCAGCCCGAGATCGAACAGGGACCCGGAGGAGCCGTCCCACCCGCAGTCGTTGCCTCTCTCCTCGGTTAATTTATAAGACTTTGTTATTTAATTTATTGTATTACCAAAAATATATTTACATTTATGACAATAATAAATAATTATTTTTAAATACCTACCTACCCTATTTTTTTTGAATTTACAGCCTAAACATTTGTTATTGACCTAGCATGCATACGTAGACAAACAACAGTACTCATAGAGCAATAGGTAGTTGTAAACTGGTAGTTTATAGTCAGTTTTGACTCTAGTGACTTACAAGCCATAAGGTCCTATGAGCCCTGCCCATATTTAGGGTAAATTGGGCAGAGGAGAACCTCTGTGGAGAAGTCACCCATATCGTTCAGTTTCGAGCTTTCTGCTTGACCTCGTTCCACGTACGTTATGCCGATGCTCACCACTTTCGCCAGTAAAAATGGTCACGCTTCTTTTACCCCTGGGGATTCCACTTCAGTAAAAAAGTAAAAAACCACCACTTCTGAGCGATAGGACCATCCAAGCTCATGAATATATTTATATAGCTATATTTTTAAGTATGCCTAACTATGATAGTTATGTTATATTACACTTTATGCACTAGTACGAAGTTTAAACTGCGTACCTATACTTCCTTGGAAACAAAGAATAGCGAATATGTTTGGTACTATGTCCAGCACCAAGTTTAAAAATATTAACATATGAAAATCTTGCGGAAAATAGGTTCCTTTACAAACTGATGATAGATTCACGATATTCATATAGAGGTACAATATGAGGAAGTATACCTTTCTTGGTTGATAATGTGGTACTATTTATTGGATTTCAACGAGTACAATAGATATTTAAATCACTGTGATACACATTTAATTAAGAATAATCAGCCAAGAATCTAAAAATTTCATACAAAATTTTATGAAAATGTAGGTAGATCTCTGAAAACAATTATTATGTTAGGATAGACTAATCTATATATAAAAGAAAGTCGTGTAAGTTACACCACTTATAACTCAAGAAAGGCAGAACAGATTTGGCTGAAAATTGGTAGGGAGAGAGCTTAGAGCCAGGAGACGGACATAGGATACTTTTTACCCAATTCTTTTTTTTTTACTTTTTACCGAAAATCAAGAACGGGAACGGGAAATATCGGGATTGCGCGTATGAAGTCGCGGGCAGAAGCTAGTTTAAAATATATAAAGGTAAGAATAAGATGTAATAAAAATACATGTACGAAAAATAATAACCTTGCTTTAGTCGGGTAAAAATTAAAAAGCTAAGTATGATTAAAGACAGAAAAATAAATAAGGGTAGTAATAGAAAAAAATACAAATAGAGTATAGATAGAAATAGATAAACACTAAAAATGTAGAAAAATTCTTACACGAATAAACTTTTTTATGGGATAAGCCCGTAAACGAGCAAACGAATCACCTGATGGTAAGCAATCGGCGTCGCCCATGGACACCCGGAACACGAAGCATGGCTCTCCGAAACTTTTCCCTTAACTTATCTTCCGATTCCATATAATTTTCTCTAAATTACAATAAACAGTCTGGTTCTTAATAAAATGCATAATAAACCACATAAAGCTACATTTAGATATTTTATATGCCTATTAGCACATTTCATTTTGTGTGCAAGAAGTTTAAATAAATAAATTTTGGCATTTGGAAGTTTTTCGTAACTTATCAAGGTGTTTTTGCAAAATCTATATATTCATTAATAATTAAGTTTTTTAAATAACAATATTTACATGGATAATAGTTTCACACATAGAAATAAACTACATGCAAGTGGGAAAGCCATCCTTCAGCACAAATGGACCGACTCGACCGGATACCACGGCCTTATAGAAAATCAGCGTGAAACAACGCTTAGGTATGTTGTGTGTTGCCGTATAAATGAAATAATCGGAGGTCCAATCCTTCATTCCTTTCCAAAGCCTCCTGGATTATATAGAGGTAAGTAGCTTCTCACAATAACCTTTTTAAAAAAACTTTACTACCTCGCCGGTCGAATAGTTAAAGACAATAAAGAGCTCTATACTACATAACATAACATCACGCCTATTATGCCCGGAGGGGTAGGCAGAATACACATTAAGGTCTTTAATGCCACTGTATAATGTAATACCCACTTTTCACTATTTATATTATGAGTCCTATATAATTGGGACTGAGCCTATTGCCATATACCGAACACAATTCCAGACACCGTGCTGCTACAGAGACTTTTTTTTAAAAACCCAGTCGTAGTTTGCTCAACCCGGGAATCGAACCCGAAACCGGATTAGGAAAATCCGTTTTACCTTTTATCAAATTTATTTCTATTTACCTACATAAGTGCACCAATTTCATAACGAGTATAAAGACATCTTTTTACATTTTAAGATGCCTGTATCATATTTTATCAAAAATTACCAATGATTCTGATTAAATATTATGTATCGATATTATATTTGTTTCTCGAATGTACAGTACATTTTTTATTATTTTTGTGCTTATTGAGAAATTATAAAATACACGAAAATGCATAGGTATAGCCGACCGCATGTCCACAAACCTACTACATGTTTCTATGTTGTCAAGCCAAAAATTCGGTAGTCATGTGGTTGAGTAAGTTTGCTCTTAGAAAGTATTCGTATTTTCATTGATAAAGGGAATTGCATTATATGTTTTAGTTGTCAAGCGGTTCACCTTCTACTTACTCTATTAGCATAACATCAAATTAAAGTCGTGCTAGATATAAATACCGAATTTCATGTGAGATTCGTCACTTCACTTTTTCCATTCGTGAAATCAGCACTTCAAACATGAAACTGGTTTGTTTTATTTTATTGTATTTACATTGTTTTTATATCAGTAAATTATTCTTTAAAAATCAGATAAATTAGTCTAAGTAAATAATTCGCAAAAGAAGGTTACTTAAAACTCTAAGACAAATTAGGTACTTACCTAAATTGTTTTACAATAAAATTACGATTAAAGTATCATAACCAAAAATGTCGATGAATAATATGTTAAGATTAAGTTCATTTTCTAATATTTTCTACCTTTGTTTACAGATCGTAGCCCTTTGCTTGGTCGCGGTGGCGGTTGCTGCCCCTCCTCCTCCAAGGTCAAACTCTGGCAATGTCGAGATCGTCAAATATGACAATGACAATATTGGACTTGGAAACTACAAATACGGGTAAGATTTCCTCGGATAGTTTAAACTATTTAAACTATTTATCGTACCTGTAAATTAATTGCACTATGAACTTTCCTGGAGAAAAAGATAAGGAAACTGAATTTTGATTTGATAAGTAATTATAATTTACCTACTATTTTAATTCCAGATTTGAATTGACTGACGGAACTGGCGCTGAACAACAGGCTGAGCTCAGAAACGAGGGCAAGGAAAACGAGTCTATCGCTGTGAAGGGTTCCTTCGCCTGGGTGGGACCTGACGGCGTGCTCTACCGTGTCATCTACGTTGCTGACGACAACGGTTACCAGCCCACAATTGAACAGGGACCCGGAGGAGCCGTCCCACCCGGAGTCGTTGCTTCTCTCCTCGGCTAATTAATAAGACTGTTATTTAATTTATTGTACCTATTACCAAACTATGTATTGTAATATATTATTATCTAAACTTTACTTTCTTCTTTGATTTTTCCTGGTTACTACCTAAATCAATAAATCACACAAACATAAATTCACAATTTTCTAAAAGTGTTCAAGAAAATTAAAACATGTTAAACCTGAGTTTTCGAAATATGGATTCGTATTTGATCTATATTGATATTCCTCTGCAACCAAGACTTGATTACAAAATATTCATTAAAAAGTTTATAAATGCATAAACTATTTCTAAATTAAGAATATTTCGAGCAAAAATTTGTTTAAATTAATCTAAAAGGATGATTCTTGTGGTTTTATATAAAATTAATTATATTTGATTAGTCAATGCTGACGCATTGAATATTAATGTAGTGCAGAGTCGAAATAATTGAACACGATGAACGGACGTTAGCTAATATCTGGTAAATTGTTAAACTATTATGCTTTTAAATTCATGTTGTGTGTAGTAAAAAAAATAGTTCTTTCTTTCTATTTTCAAAATAGATCAGAAAAAATTTACATAAATAAAATATCCAATTCCTATTATTTAAAGTTTAATCTTAATATCTTTAATGCGTCTGACTGCAATTAACTGCACGGTTGGAGCAGTGGCTGGGCAACCGGCTGCCGCACAACGAGTAGCGGGTTCGATTCCCGCACGGAGTAACTCTTTGTGCGGTTCATAAATTCTTTATTGTAAGCGCATCCACGACACTAGACAATCCTAGTGTGTGGCAACATTTTCGTAAAATAATCTGTCCAATTTATATTAACGCATGTTGTTCTGATCAGTAATGTTCATAGCTGAGTTTAATTTAAAAATAACTGTGGCATTCTCTAGCAAAGTTCTAATTCTTGTAAAAAATTAAATCTCCAAATAAATAATTCTTAATCTTACGTAAACACAACCTTTATTTCAATGTTAAACTTTACCTCATGTTTTATTTTAACAACAATAGCCATGATATGTCATCGTAAGAATAAACTGCGTTACTTTTTTATTTATTAGTCAGTTTAATCTGTGTATAATTCTTTTATTCAATATTAAAATGATGCGCACGCGATGCTAACACCTACACATGGTTACCATAAAGTCTATATTTGAAAATTATTTAAATAGGGACATTATGTTCAAGGACTCATTAGGTTGATATCTAATTAGTATCGTAAGAATAAATTATATGATTCAAAGCCTTCGTAAGTCTCAAAAAATTATGGAATTATTTTGATTTGATATTCAATCTCATGTCAGTTAATCTCATCAGCATATGAGACACAATAGAAAATATATTGTATCCCAATTTTCAGGAAAATTTCGTTAAGCCTGTAACCTATTTCTTATACAATAGCTTAAGCTACATATTTATTTAAAAAATAACCAATGTTACATTTAATTTCCGAACCAATATCAAGTAACAATTAGGTATACTTTTCATTTACACCCGATACATTGCAAAATTATTGTAGACCCGTCTGTTATCGATAACTTAACTGGCTTAATATAGGAGTGGTGGACACGACTGCCTACACCGTGAGGGACAACGAGCTTAAAGTCATAATGTATACTAATTACTAATTTCACATAAATAAAAGGGTTACAAACGAGTAAATCGAGTACTTACTTCAAAGGGTTATTACGAAAAATTCAATTAATACATGCAGTATACATGGTTAATGCAATATGTTAACGCAACTGCTCTTAACCACACATGTTTGTCTACGGCTTTTGTTTGAATAAATTATTTAACATATTATATTAAAACTGTCCATTAGCAAACTAATGTAATTGTTGTATAATTAATTCGCTGCCGAACGAGGTTTAAAAGTTTCGTAAAAAAGTTTTAAATTAACGTGTAAGTAACTGAAGTACATTGTACTTACTGTAATTGGAATAACTGGCACTATTATTATAACTAGTATAAAATAAATAGATGGAAATCCCTGAATCCCCAACGATCCTCAAACTCCTAATCCCTAAAAGGCGGGTAACGCACTTTTAACGCCTCTGGTGTTTCAGATGTCCATGAGCGACGCCAATTGCTTACCATCAGGTGATCCGTCTGCAAGTGTACCGGCTTATGCCATAAAAAAAATTATAGTTTAGCGTTATTGTTGACCGTTGACTTGAGAATCCCGTAGGCGACACTAACAGCAAAGATCGAAATATTCTTCCCCAAAAGGAGGAAACTAATTCATAGAATTAGTTTAATTTATTTTTTTTAGATTAATTCATAGAGTTAGACACACTGGGTAATTTAAATGAAAGAAAGGTAACCTCTTTCGAAACCAAACACCATCTTAGGATCAAATCTCATTAAACCACAGCCGCTCATAAGTTCATAAACGAATAATTATGAATGAGTACCTTGCCCTTACCATCTTCAGTGTCAGTTCATAATGTACATGTAATCAATCAAGTGTCAATAACTTGTGTTACAATTGACATTGACTCAGAGTTCATTGTGTAACACTGCACTTGTCGCCCACCTGAGACAAATGCTTACCCTACATTCATTAGAAATATTGCCGCGTCCAAAAACTTGTCGAAAGTTGTTCCTATGTCAATGTTAGTAGCTCCTATGTCGTAAGTAGAGTATAATTACTTGTTATTTGTAATTTCTTGGCCCATGACATGTATTCACGTGTAATAACGGAAAAATTAAATCTTATCGATTAACATATCCGCAGTTAGAATGTGTATATGTTATATTTATGTTGAAGTTTTCTATTAATTGGAGTAACGCTTGCAGAAATTTGACTTTATTGACTTGTTATTTAAATAAATTTTCGTTAATGTTTGCTGTAGAAGTTATATATTAATTCTACTTACTATTTCTATAATTATCAATAATATGAATGTTAATAGTGACATTTATACGTAGAGTTATCAAATCAGTGTACAGCGCAATTAATTTAAGTAATTGCCTGAATACTAATTACAGTTTTAGAAATTTGTATAAAAAGATCTATTTTTAAATACATTTTATACTTAATGAAATTTAAAGCAGTTAAATAAAATTACGAAATATGTGCGTTGCACATATTATAGGTACCTTCAAGTCACTGCGTTTGAAGCTAAAGAGAAGATTTCTGCAATTCATACATTGTAACCAACATATTTATATTCGACGAATGTTTATAGAGTAAATACGAATAGATGATTAAACACTAAAAATGACCACTTATTAAGTCTTAAGTTGGTTACCAGTCAGGTAAGTCAAGGCTTAAACACTCACACCAAATACTCATCTGGTCTTTATTTCCGCATTTTTTTAGTCATTTCGAGGAATTATTTTAAATTAATAAATTAAACTAACTAAACTAAGAATTAAGTTGGGTCCGGTGTCTGGCAAAAAGCCCACTGAAAATTATAACTGTCGAAATAAACAGTTTAAAAAAAGGTTAGAAAGCTTCGTTCTGTCTGAGGGATTAACGCAGGCTATTATTTTTTTTTTATCCTAAAAGGTAAGGATATTCCTATAAGATTGAGACCTATATGCGAGAAATAAAATTTAAAATTCCGTATCTGGTCCAAACCGTTGGCAGAAGCCTATACATTGTTTTTTTTTTTGAGAAACACATGTTAAGTTTATCTTCGTCTTAACAAGGCAGTCAAATTATTAGAAGGATATTATGATTATGATAATACTTCTGACAAGGACATTGCTGCAGGCAAAGATGAACCGTCAAATTTTATAAGTGGCTCTTTAATTCCAACTTTGATACATTGGAACAAGGTCAAGACTTCTTTGATTTGCATACGGTTTCCGTGTTATTGTCAACAATAACTATGAATGATATTAGTTGTATACATACGCATAAAGTTATGAGGTTTAGGTAGATTGAAGGGTATGAGTTTCCAGAAAAGTATGGCAAAAATAGGTCAATATTTCCTATACAAAATATTGATCATCAGGTATTGAAATCAGTTGAACTATAGATGGAAAATTGTGTTTTTTGTCTTTCTTTACTATCGCTTCAGAGAAATGTAATTATTTTATTTCGTATCTAGAGATAGATACAATAGAGGGAGGTTGATGTAGGCTACTTATTTCCTCTAACCATGCAGGCAAAACGTTGAGTAACGGCTATGTAGCTCGCGAGTAACAAGATATGACAAAAAACTGAATATTACACTAAAGTAATGAACAGAATACACAGTCACACACACTACATTGCTAAAAGCTTTAAGTTTATCAATAAACATATTCGGACGAACATTTTACAATAAAAAAAGTTCCTTTTCATTTTAATAATTAAAGCTTCGTGAACTGTAATAGAATAAAATAATTTAAAATCGAAATCAGAGAACAAATCAAACAAATACAGGTTAAAAAAATCCACATAATTATAGATACACGACATCTCAAATTATATGGAAAACGCATGCAAAGTACATAAGTCAAATATTTAATAGAATTAAAGTAATCATCCAAATTATTTACAAACCTTTCATCCATACGTAATGTATGCCGCGATGTTAAAAATCATTATTTCTATTGGCCAACCGAGTTAAGGTACTGACATAGAGGTCATAGGTTAATGTTGCAAGATTATTAATTAACCAATTTTGTTTAAAGTTTAATAAGTATTTAATAGCTTTGTCTAATGACATAATTAACCAAGACCTTTCAGTAGCAACTATACTTTAAAGATACTTTAAAGCTACGAAGAAATTAAACTTTTGTAATAAACCCCTCTCTCTATTGAACTTTCATTATTACAACACATGCACGAAATAACAAATTAAATATTAACCGTCTCGTGGTTTTCTGTCATAACCTTTTACAAAAGTATAACACTTTTCTTCTTTTTAAGTCTAGGCCACACAAAACCACAGAATAAGTATTACTGTACTGAATACTTGCAATTAAATTAACGCAACAATGTGTAAATAAATCAACATGTTCAATAAAAATTCCAATGAAAGAAAGAAAAAGTTATTTACTAATTGCTGTCAATCACACAAATTATAGGTACCATCACTTGAAGCTACATATATTATTAAAATAAGTTTCGTAAGGTCCCTCAAACATTTCGCGTCTTACCTTCGCCATGTCGTAGGAGTGGTCAAATACACAAAACACTGTAACGAGATGTGCGTCAACTAATAACAGTATGTTGTAATGCAATATTCGGAATAGTATAAAACATGGGTTAAGATAATTCACGAGCACATAGTTCAAGTAAACTCGATACGGTTAGCCGTTTAATAGCGATCATGAAATTGGTCAGTACTTTGTGGTGATTTAATATTAAATTATTTTATTAAATGTGTTTGTGAAAAAGTGTTAATAGTGCGGTTTTTATTACTTTCAGTTGGTGTTGTGTGCGTTCGTAGCTGTGGTGGCGGCCGCCCCTCAGAATATTCAGGATGTTCAAATCCTACGCTACGACCTGAACAACGATGGACTAGGCGCCTACAATTACGTGTAAGTTTTTAGTTAATACTTTTCAACTGCAGTATATTTCATAACGATAACTTTAAATGTTATAAAAATTCTTTAGATCATATTTAATTCTAATACAGATACAACTGTTTGTATAAATTAACGCCACTGTCCCAAGAGGCAGGCAAGAAAAATTAAACTTAATACTATTTCTTTAGCATCCAGTTACACAAGTAAATACTCTAGTACAAACGGAAACTTATCACAGTTCATAGCAGTCAGAGAAGGGAAATAATCTTACAGGCTTTATTTACTACTATGTGTCTCCGTTACAGGTTCGAACAAACCGACGGTACTGGTCATAATGAATACGGAGAGCTCAGGAACGCTGGCTCTGAAGATGAGTTCGTTGCAGTAAAAGGTTCCTACTCCTGGATCGGCCCCGATGGTGTCACCTATACCGTGAACTACGTCGCCGATGAGAACGGCTTCCAGCCCACTATCGAGCAAGGACCCGGTGGTGCTGTACCCTCAGCTGTCGTTGCCTCACTCCTCGGTTAAAGTATTATTAGTAAAATTAGTATAATTTGTTAAATAAAAGTCATAGTTAAAGTTTATTTTCAATATTTTCGTTTTATTTTCTTATATTCATAAGCCATTATTCTGATACAAATTATTTTTCACTTCGATTCTTAAATGTTTGGACCTGGGATTTGGGTATTATTTTTTAAACTTCTCGGTAGTCGTTCAGCGCCTTGAATTGCACCTATTATGGGAGGATCTGATTTACAAGTCTAGTCCTCATATTGATTCTGGTGTAGTAAAAAAAACACATTGCTGAAACGCTTTTAAAACAGAGCGGGAGAAATCGCTAGGGGCTAAAGTAAATATGAAAAAAATACAACCAACTAAAGGAAATAAAAATATCAGAATAATGAATAATCATTAAAGTAAATTCGCAGAATATCAAAACATTTGTTACAATACAAATATTTGTTCCCACGCATCATAAGAATACTAATAAGGCAATTTACTGCATACTTGCAGCAGTTTATACCTGCAATTATACATTCCGTAGTTTAACATCTTCTGGTTCATAAATCATTGGGTATACTCTGCTGTTCAGCCATTTGGCTTGAAAAAATTCAAGGGTCCTCAAACTAATAATAATAAATATTCTATATTCGTAATTTTAAAAAGACATTCTTCAATTTTTTTATCGTAGTAGGAACGGGTGGTTTTTAGTCAGTAAGAGTCTGACACTCCCTCTCGTATAACCCGGGCGGGAGAAGTCATTGGATGATTTTCGCCCCTCAAAAAAAACAGCCAACCACAAATAGACTCACAGGTAATTTATATGCGCATTAATAAAACTTATGTCCTCATTTTTTATAGGTACTTAATCGATCGATGATGGTATATATGCGCGAATCAAACTTAAGATAATTTTGAAAATTGTATTTTAAGTCAATTTCGAACATATGTATATTTCACAAACTTACATGCCTTTTGGCCTATTGCGTAAGTGCTTTTATACCATAACATATTATATTAAAATTATAAACCACCCTGTACACTATAGATGCAATTAAAGTAATTTGATTTGAGAAGATAGACATGAGTCTACTAATTAAAACAATGATGTTTTAATTGTATTTGTAATAGCATGAAATGGTTTTCACAAAGTATTTTGCGAAACAAAGCAAGAGACGTCTAGATTCATATGGCACAGTTACTTGTCAAGTTTGTGACATTGAGCACACAAGTTCACGAGCGCAGATATCAAGGAAGATTCGCCACGGTTAGCCGTCTAATACTAGGTACTGTTATCATGAAATCGGTCAGTAATATACAGTGATAAATATTTATTAATAACTTATATAATGTCAATTAGATGTATAATTGCTTTTCTACAATTTGGTGGGAGTAATGTAAAACATAGTATGCTTATAAAGTGCGTAAACGGATAAAATGGTGCATTGAAAAAATACAACAGAAAAATGTCACTTAACAATATTCTTGCAATTTTGAAAAACAGTACCTTTTTCTTTCAGTTGGTATTGTGTGCGTTCCTAACTGTGGCAGCGGCTGCCGCTCAGGACACCCAGCTTATAAAATACAATGTGCACAACGACGGACTCGGTGCTTACCATTTTGAGTGAGTTGTTCAAATGCTTAATTATATTAATTTCCAAAATATCATTATTTACAAGATTTTTATCGTCTTTAACATGAACGTAAAAATTTTATCAGTACATCTCCTGAATGTATCCTATGTTTACAGCTTCGAACAAAGCGACGGTATAAGGTCCGAACAAACTGGAGAGCTACGGAATCCAGGGTCTGAGACAGAGTTCGTAGCAGTGAAAGGTTCTTACGCCTGGGTCGCTCCTAATGGTGACGCGTTCATTATTGATTACATAGCTGATGAGAATGGCTTCCAGCCAACAATCTCACAAGGTGTTGCGGATTCTGTATCCCCTGAAGTAGTAGCACATCTGCTTGGTTAATTTTAATTCAATTTCTCAAATAAATCTGCTTTTATAGTTTTATTTGTTTTATTTTTCATCGCTTTGATTTATGATTAACTCGTCGAGGACCGGTTTTATAGACACAATTAAAGAACAATAGGTCGCGGTCACCGGTGACCGCTTGGTGTTTGACAGATTAAGAATAAGTTATGAAACTTATTTCTAACTCGATTTATGAAATTATTAATTTTCTTAATTGAAAGGTAAACCAAATTATGATCTTTTTTATCCCGTTAAAAATCATCCCAAAGTGATTTCCAATCTACATGCATTCTAGACTATTCTATATACAAGCAAGGAGGAATTTTTGCATTTCCCATAAGTTTCGTCCATTTTACACACTGACCAGTACCTAACCAGTAATACATATTTTAGCCAACGCAAAATATTTTTTTTTTTTTAGCTATTCTTGATACAATCAGACAGACGTTTTCATGGTAACATCGCATCGGTCTTAAAAACATTACTTTGAAGCAAATCATGTGATCTATGGCGTCAATAACATCTAGGCTCATAATCCGGTAGTTATTATAGAGTTGGTGACCTTGAACACAAGTTCATAAGCACAGACACCAAGGAAGATTCGCTACGGTTAGCCGTCTAACAGTGATCATGAAATCGGTCAGTAATGTATAGTGAAGTAAATGTTTATTAGATACTTAATATCTTTACTGTATTATTTCTTTTGTTTCGTTTAGTATAGATGTAAATTACGATATATTTGGTAAGAGGGATTAAGGGACAAAATATGAAGTGAGAAATATTTTTGAAATTTGGAAAAAGTGTGATTCTCGCTTTCAGTTGGTGTTGTGTGTTCCTGGCTATGGCAGCGGCGGCCCCTGAGGATATTCATCTTATAAAATACAATATGAATAACGATGGACTTGGCACTTACAATTTTGAGTGAGTTCAACTAATAAGTTCACCTTCAAGAAAAAAACGTATTACCTTTTAAAAGGCTGGCAACGCAACTGGTGTTGCGGGTGTCCATGAGCGGCGCGAATCGCTTACCATCAGGTGATCTGTATGCTCATTTGCCTCCTATCCCATTAAAACTCTGGGCTCGCTGCCATTGCAGCGGTAAGTCCCCTCTTTGAGGAGTGGCTTGAGAGACGCTACGGCGTCCTCACCTACCGCCTGACGCAGGTCCTCACCGGGCATGGAAGTTTCGGGAGGTACCTGTGTCTGATGGGGCGGGAGGAAACGCCCGGGTGTCATCACTGCGAGGACCGCCCTGAGGACACGGTGGAACACACAGTGGGAGAATGCCCTGCGTGGGCTGAGCACCGCCGTGCCCTCAGGGAAGTGATCGGCGATGGCGACCTCTCGCGTCCGGGCCTAGTGCAGGCCATGATGCGGAGCGAGGGGGACTGGGATGCCGTCTCCTCCTTTTGCGAAGCAGTCATGCTAGCTAAGGAGGAGGCGGGACGCGTGAGGCAGCGAAGCGCTGCCTCCTCGCAACCCAGCCATCGCGAAGGACACACCGGGTCGGGGATCGCGGGACGATCTCCGGCCACCGTAAGCGCGGGCCTGCGGACGGCGAGCATGGGTGGCTCCCCGTCCGACCAGAAACAGACCCGAGCGTACGGCGCGTCGCGTTCCGCGCGCGCCTCAAAGAGCCATCAGACCACCACAGATGGGGCCCAATAGGGCCGATGCCGATTCGGAGTCGCGGAGAACCTAACGGGTAACCGGGGCTCCGGCTCGACGTGCAGGAGAAGGAACGGGGTGGTTTTTAGTCAGTAAGAGTCTGACACTCCCTTCCGCCTCACCCAGGCGGGAGCAGTCATTCGATGATTTTCCCCCCTTAAAAAAAAAAAAAAAAATCCCATTAAAACTTGAAAAAAATATTCTCACTATTTTCGGAGTTTGTTATTAGTATCGTATCAATGATCTTGTGTAATTATCTTGTAATATGTTGGAGTTGTATTCCTGTGAATGAATTTAATAACCACTTACCGTAGCTATACACAAAAGTATTTATTAGCATAAAGTTTCTCAATATTTCTACTCAATATCATGTTCACAGTTTCGAACAAAGCGATGGTACAAAACATGAACAATCTGGAGATCTACGAAATCCTGGTTCTGAGAATGAGTTCGTTGCAGTGCGAGGTTCTTACTCCTGGACCGCTCCTGATGGTCACGCCTTCATTGTTGACTACATTGCTGATGAGAAAGGCTTTCAACCAACTATCTCACAGGGTGTAGGTGATCTATCCCCTAGGTTACTAGAGCTACTCCGCAGTTATTAATTTTTTTTAATAAATATGTTATTCGAATTTGATCGTTTTATTTTCCTTTGCTTTCATTAAATATACTTTACATAACCGGCCAACATGAGGTGGGTGTTAGCTCAAAATTATCGATTTGATGGTAAAAAAGAATGTTACACCTACTTACCCTTTATAGGTATATATACCTACCCACAATTACTGGGTTCAATGACATTTTTGAAAATAAAAGATGAAAAAGCCTTAGAATAAATAAAAAATACTAACCCAAATTCCAACTAGATCCTCATTGACGGTACCTAAAACTACTGCACCTTAAAAAGTATTCATATCCAGTTGAAAATGCACCGAGCGTACTGTAGGAAGATATTATTATGCTATCATGGGATACACTAATATCGATTAAGAACAAAGATTAGTCATAATTATATTTAGCTGTTCTGATGTTACTCGACCAATTATAGGCGACGTATTTTCCAATACAAAATTTACCGCCCCCTATGATAATTAACACCTATGCTCCATAGGAATCTACACGTTGGAATTAGCAAATAGCTTGACTTTAAAAATTTTGTTGACTGTTTGTGCTTTCCTGGTCTAATTGAAATATTTTGACGTTGACTTTGATATCGAAACCATGCAGTGAAACTGTTTTCTTTGAAACTCCTTTCAGCAACGACTTTCATAGATTTTATAAAACTAAAACTTTTTTTTAAATGTCTTATATAAAATGGTCAGGCGACCAGTAAATGTCAAAAAACAAATATTTCCCCAATATGTCATAGATATCGTATCA